CCTCCCTCCCTCCCTCCCTCCCTCCCTCCCTCCCTCCCTCCCTTCCTCCCTTCCTTTTTTGTCTTTCTTCCCTCCCTTCTCCCCTCCCTCCATCCTTTTCTTTCTTCCTTTTTTGTCTTCCCTCCCTCCCTCCCTCCCTCCCTCCCTTCCATGACAGGATCTTACTATGTAGCCCAGGCTGTCCTTGAACTTGGAATTCTGCTTTGGTCTCCTAAATGTACCACCAAGCCTGTCCACAAGTCATATTTATAGACTCTGTCTTTGTCTTTGGCCTCTCTGTCTTTTCTTCTCTCCAACTTTCTCAGCTCAGGCTGACCTTGAACTCGCAGCAGTCTTCCTGTCCTAGCCTGAAGTGCTGGATTACAGACAGGAGCCAACACTCCTGACTCTTACTTTAATCTTTAGAGCAGCTAACCTAGTTAATCCTTTTTTTAAAAGGCGGGGTTTCATGTATCCCAAATAGGCCTCCTGTTTGCTGTGTAGTTGATGACTGTAAACGGATTCATCTGCCTCCACCTCCCTGGTGCTGGGATTATAGGCATGTAATAAATTGATCATTGTGCCTGATCAATTTATGTAATGTGGGGGATGAAACCCAGGGCTTTATGAATGCTAGGCAAGCACTATTGACTGCGGAACCACGCCCACATCCAGCTCTCCTCTCCACGCTTGCACGTGACTGTCCAATGACATAACAAACAGAGCCATATCTGGTTCTCAACCTCAACACTTCCTTGGCTTTTTCTATCTTAACAACATGATGTGATTGTTGAAGATTGAGATTCCTTCTCACCTCCTCTCAACTCCACCCCAACCCAAAAATGGCCATTAATAGGCGAACCCTCAAATAGAACTGGCAGGGCATTGATAGAATTCTTTAAACATATTAATTTTTTATAGAGACAAAAGTCATTATTAGGTTTAAAGCAGCCCACTTCTCCATCCCCTGGTCTTATTCCCCTAAGTAGCCACTCTGAACAACTCAGTTCTTCTATTTGCTTGTTTTATATGTAATCTTTATATCAGAATTTAGTAAGTCAGCTTTTAGATAGCAGTGGGGTCATACCTGAGAGCTGAGTACCTGGTAGTGACTTGAGGCTGGAGCCTTGATAGGTGGAGTCATGGTAGAGGAAAGCTGGACCATTGTTACCCTGAGTACTCTTGCGCTGAGCAGGAGGGCACCAGAGATGCTCTAGCCCATACTAGCACTCAGAAGGCACTCAGCCTGCTGTTCTATCAGGAGTGAGCATGGGAAGATGTACCTGCCCCACAACAGAAAAGCTATATGCTCAGACAGGAGTTGTATTTTGTGCCAAGGGGGCAGGAAGATGCATGTCACAGAGGCTGTGATGTATTCCCTGTTGGCCAGTGAAAGTCCCCACCTTTCATGGAAATCCCCTTGGCCTTTCCAAGGGAGCTCTGGAGGTCAGGGAGACTGCTAGAGTGATGGCCTGTGCAGTCTGTCTCAGTAGGTAACCCCATTTGAATGGAAGGTACACAGAGGGGTAGTAAAATACATTTTAAATAAACTTTCTGAAAAACAACGTTGTGTGTCCCCAAGGCAGGGACATTTGATGCTCTTGAGCAGGAATTCTAGGACTTAAGGTAGGGTGCTAAGTGGTTAGAAAGGTAGAGAGAGGTTAAGGACCGTGAGCAAGTGGGTAGGGGGTCTAGGACACATGGGCAGGAGCCCCAGGCCTTTCTAAGTGACATCTTACAGCCTCTACAAGACTTACTGATTTGGCCAGAGGGACTGATGGGTGTCATGGCCAGCTGCTGAAAGCCTTTAACATTCCTGTCTACATTATGATTGTCTTGGGTTGGTTTCAATTGCAAGGAAGGCCTGCCTGATGGCTTTTCCTCCCTCACCCTCTCCTGTCCTCCTGGTCCACAGTCCTTTGTGGCTTCTTAGGCTGACTGGATTCACTCTAGGCCTCAGAGTCTACGACTCCGAGATAGCTTCAGAGAGCAACCCCAGCTCCCTAACAACTGAGAGTGTGGCCACAAAGATCTTCAGGGAAGATTTCTGAGTGTGACAGAGACCGCACAAGGAACGTTACCTGGGTGCCGGTGTCTCACATTGATCTCTCGTCTGAGGCTTCTAATCTGGCCTCCCATCACTCGACGGGTGGGACTTCCTAAGCTTGCCTGGTGTTGTCACTCCTTTTCCCCTGAAAAGGTTTTCTTACAGACTTCTCTGGCTTGACACTTGTAGCTCCAAGTCAGTGCTGAGCAGGGAGCCTGGATCCCTTTCCAGGACAGCTCAGGCTTGGCTCTACCTGCCAAAGGGCTGGTAGCCTCATGGCCTGAGGTGGGTGGCTTCTTCAGCCTTCTTCAGGCATGGTCAGGCAGGAGGCCAGTGCAAAGGCAGGAAGACCGGGAGCGATTGGTGTTAATTTAGATATGGATGTTTAAGAAAAATGTTCAGAGAATTATTCTATTCATGCTAAATACCAAGTGATTCAACTTCCTCCCCCACATTGCCTGTCAAAGTACGGTTGGGCTGTCTCAATAGTTCTCTGCAAATGGATCCCATTACAACCCAAACCCAGGATGGCCTGTGGTGCCTGTTGATATTTTACTCATTACTTTTTTAAGGAGAGATCCAGGGATGGGACCCCATGTTTCCTACGCCAGACCATTCTCAAGTGGTTGCTTTTGGATTGAAGGCCTGCCTGATGCCTGTCATCCTCCGTCCCTCCTCCCTCCCCCAGTCCCTCCACTGTCCCTGCTTCAGGGCTCCAGGGCGTGTCCTCTCAGCAGACAGGTCTTAAGGCTGCATTTCTGTAGAGCTAGGGCTGTGAAGGCAAGGTATATACTTCAGCACAAAATCCCTGGCAGCCAGGATTGGCTACATGGCTGGGCTCATGTGTTGGTGTGCGAACTCTGCTGCTGTCGCTGAATGAGTCAGCAGAGAGAACAAACACACATCGACTTGGGCAATGATTTCATATCGGAGTCACTCTCAAGAGAAGCCCAGCATAGGGAGCTATAAAAAGAGGGAGACAGGAGGCAAGGGGATAGGGAAGTCTGGGGTACCCCAGAGTCCTGTTGGACACACAGAGGCACATAGCCAAGCCATCAACCTTGGAAGAGCACAGGAGAGACAGACACCAGGGCAGACTCCAGAGGCTTGGTTTTATTGTGCGTTTTTTTTTTTTTTTCCCTCGGTGAGACGCTGTAAGCTGTGGTAGTATTACACACAGTGATGGGACAGGCAGAGCTGCCAGTGGGGAAGAGGATGCTTGGAAAAGCTATCTTCCAAAAAGTATGCACCCTGGATCTCACTCCACCACCTGCCCCCAAGATTACGAGGTCCTGTAAGAGGCAGGTTGCAAGACTCTGGCCGTCTGGGGGATCAGGGACAGCAAGAGGGACTGGCACAGAGGGGCAAGGGGAAGAACAACAAAGAATCTCCCTTAGCAAGCTGGGTCCAACTGGATGGTTCTAGGATCCCCTTCCTGCACTGGCTTAGATCCTGGGGTCAGAGTTCTGGCTCCTTGGGAGTAAAGAAGGGGGATTCGTCGTCTTCTGACACCTTCACTATAGGCAGTGGCCTTTAGAGACAGCAGGCTCATGTTTTAGAGGAAGGGTGATCCCTCCTCAACCTCCTACCCCTTTCCCCCAACATTCCCTGGCTGAACCTGTGTCTTTACTGAGTGTGCCCTGGCCCAAGAGCCATAGGGGGCTTGCTTCTTCAGTGATGGGAGGGGGCGTGTGAGTGGCAGCTGAGAATGACCAGGTAGAATCTAAGTTCTCTTCCTCATTGGATGGTCCCCAAAGGCTCAGCAGTGATCTCCTATCTTGAGGCCCCCCTCCCTGCCCATTGGGTGATTCTTTCAACAGAGTATGACTGTACCAGGCACAGACACAGTCTAACTTCCCTCATCCGTATCTCTTTCAGGCATCTGGCTTGGTTGGCAAGGAGGAACTTGCCCCAGGGACTGATATCCTGCCTCCCCTACCCATCGTACGCCCTTATGTTCTTTCTATCAGGTCCTCCAGGGAAGAACAAACTCAATAATCAGAAGCAGCCCTGGAATACGGAGTACAAAATGACAGCTAATGGTATGCATCGAGGGTGAGGTGGCAGGGGTGGGGAGGGGTTGGGGAGGTGATGGCATGCAGCACTGGGGTTCCTCAGGAGGGACAGGGTCCCCATTTCTCCCCATGTTTCGAGATATTTGAAGGACTTGGGGAGGGAGTCAGCTGACCTGGAGAAGCAAGACCTCTGCAGTGGACCTCAAGGTTTCCTGTTTCTCCTTGGGCCCAACCAGTCACAGAGAAATGAAATCCATGGCTTGGAGGAGGGAGAGGGAAAGCAGGAGGAGCAGTATCCATGAAGTGTTCTGAACCAGCAGGCTTATGCCACCACACTTGACCAGCTTGTCTGTGGAGAGAGAAGGGGAACGGGGAGATCAGGACTCAGGCGGGCAAAGACAGCGCCAGGTGTTAGCTGTTCAAGGGAGCTAGCTGGTGCTTTGACATATTAGCGGCTCCACTTGACGGTGTAACAGAACCTCCACACCACAAGAACTGCGCCACCTTTCCCATTTACAGTTTCCTCAACTGTGTTTTTACTACAAGCTCTCCCTGTCTGGCCCCTGATCTTGCCCCACTCACACAGAGGGCAGTGGATCCCCAGGGGAACAGCAGTTAGGGAAACACGAGAAGGCTATAGCACCCTTCTTCTCTCAGCCCCAGCTAATGGAGGCTGTCCCCCCTACCCCCCATAGGTCCATTGGCTACCCTAGCCTGGCTAACCCGGACATTTCATCTTTTGGGGGATCAGTCTCACCTCTATACACATGGAGAGTTTTATTGAAGCTTGTGGGATTTGGGCCCGAGACTCGAAGCTCACAAGAGTACTCCCCCTCATCCTTGGTGGTGAAGTTGGCTAGGGTAAGGACCTTGATATAGCGATCCTTGGTGAGAGTGATCCGGGAGCGGTACGTGTGCTCGGGTACCCCGAGGGTGCCTGAGAGCACGTGCTTCTTCTTCTCTCGGGTCAGGCTGAACTCGTGCTGGATGGGCAAGTGGGTATTGTTCTCATGACGGCAGTCCAGGCGAAGGCTCTGGTTCACCAGGCAGGCTGTCAGGCTGGTCACCTTCTGCCCTCGGGACATCTGCAAGACTGGCACAGCAGTGCCTTCTCTGAATTGGGGGAGATAAAGACCCAGGGCCTCCCACCTGCAGGAAAAGTCGACTTGACCTGGGAGGATGTGGGGTTCGCACTCACCCCTGGGGTATTGGTGGGATGTTCTACCACCCGCAGACTCAAATTCCCATCTAGTCTACGGAAGTTCTGCACCCCAACAATGTGTTTCAAGAACAGGAGATCACAAGGAGTATAGTGCTTTGTTGTTGTTTTGTTTTTAATAGTTTTTCAAAAAAGAGTTTCTCTGTCTTGAGAACAGCTCTGGCTATCCTGGAACTTGCTCTTGAGGAGCAGGCTGGCCTCAAACTTACAGATCCACCTGACTCTGCCTCCTGAGTGCTGAGATTAAAGGTGTGCACCGCCACCACCGCCCAGCAAGAGGAGTTCCTAGATCCAGTATGGAATTTCCAATATGTCAAAGACCACCACAGGCAGGTGATCAGTGAGGTTGAGGCTCGCCTCCACCCCGCACCCCCAGCCACCTGTGCCTCTGAGACTATGGCAAAGAGGCTACTTCCCAGAATGAGAGGAGCCAGAATGGGGGGAGCCAGAATGGGAGGAGCTAGAATGGGAGGAGCCAGAATGGGAGGAGCTAGAATGGGAGGAGCCAGAATGGGAGGAGCTAGAATGGGAGGCGCCAGATGCCTTAGAATGCCAGCCCTGACCCTTGCCCAGTACCTGAAAACAGGAGAGCGATGCTGATGGCTGGATTCATGGCTCCAAGAGTTCCGTCCTGGATTCTGCGGTGGGGAAAGCTCCAGGTCAGTCAGATGATAGGACAGGTGGGTTCCCTTTTACTGTGAGGGCTTGGGATCCACGGAGCACATGATGGACAACACCTCAGCCCCTCTCTTTATCCCCTTCTCTTGGAGGAAGAGAAAGCCAAGGAGATGGGAGCCCATGTCCTGGGTGTGTGTCAGTGCTGTCCCTGAATGCCTCCCTGCTGGGTGACTTCATTACTTTCCTCTGGGTCTTAAGACCTACAGGGCTCACACCTTTGATCCCAGTACTCTGGAGGCAGAGGCAGATGGCCTTCCAGGCCAGCCTGGTCTACAGAGTGAGTTCTAGAACAGCCAGGACTGCACAGAGAGAACTCTCTTGAAAAACAAAAACAAACCCAAAAAACAAAAACAAAATTTTTTTGATTTGATAAGCTTTTACTGTCTAATGGGTCTGACTGTATGCTTCACGGAGGCTAATCTCTGTCATATTGCTTTGTAGCCAGTCTCCAGAAGTCAACCAGTTTTTGCAAATGAAAACTTTCATATCTATTAAACAAACAAACAAAACCCCAAACACCTCCCTTAAGCACCAGTTCTTGTTCAGAAGATGATCCCCAATGCCCAGGTCAGCCCTAGCCTATAGCAGATACTCAGATACTTGTTTATTTATTTATTTACAGGGTTTCACTATGTAGCTTGGGCTGGCCTCAAACTCACTAAACTGTCTCAGTCTCCCGAGAGCCGGTGTTATAGGCATGTACCTCCTCCTGGCCTATTATTTTATTGAAACTGTATCTCCCAATGTATCTCATGATGTCCTGCCTCAGCCCCTTGAGAGCAGGATAAAAGATATTTACTGGATAAATGAGGTTCTCTGAACCTTACACTCAGATAGGATTGTGATGGGGTCTAAGAAAATGGTAAGTATCCAGCATTATGTCCCGGGTGTTAAGTGGTCCAGAAAGCTTAATGGTTAGGGATGAGGTCAGGCAAGTGAGGTGCCACAGAGGCCACAGGACGTGAGTGACAAGCCACTCTGATTGTACATAAGCCACAGATACTTGCAAATGGCCAGCTCTTGAGTGTTCCTGGGGCTGCAGTTTTCTGGTCCTGGGTTCATAGCTTCCCTGCACAGGTTTTCTGCCTTTCCCGCAGTGCCCTGGCTCAACACATTGGCAGGCAGTCTAGCCTGTCCTTGCCCAGGCACAGTCTGCTAGAGTTCTGGAGCTCCACCTAGGCGACAAACAGGGCCACTCTGCCATTCTCGCAGTTGACGGTCGGGGTGGGGGGTGGGGGCGGAAGAGACTAGGGTCCCTCGGATGGGCTATGACAGTGAATGTCATCTCAGCCTGGGGAGGAGCTGCGACCAGGAGCCGGATCCCAAGGCACTGTGACAGAGAAAGGGGACTATTTATTTATTTATCTTAGAGACAAGGTCTCCTTAAGAAGCCCTGGTGAGCTTGGAACTCGTGATATACCCCAAGTTGATCTCCAACTCCATCCGTCTGCTTCCACTTCCCGAGGGCTGCCGGATGCTACAGGGCTTGGATCTGCTAACACTGGGTGACGGAGGAGGGAGTGCGGGCTTGGGATTCAGGGGAGGGAAGTGGGAACACTAGACAACAGAAATGGGGCTGGAGAAGCCTGGCAGAACTAGACAGAGGGGTAGCATGATCTGGCAGAAGCGCTGCAGTTTGTTTCCGGCACCCCGAATCTCATACCCAGCCCACCTAAGCCCGCACCCAGTCAAACTTTGCGCCCTTTCCCTGTGGCCCCGCCTGGCTAACCCCACCCTGCTGCTATTTCTGCATTTTAATCTTCTTCTACCAGTTGAGGTTCTCCTCCCTCCACCCACCCCCACACCGCTCGCTCGCATCTTTTCCAGGTTTCCCTTCCCCCGCGCCTGCCACCCAGTCTCCTCCCGCAACATTGCGGTTTTCTTACCTGCGGTGCCCTGCACCCAACCAGACACGAGGTCACCCGACGGATACTCTCTCCAGCTCGCCACCCACCTCCTCCCTCTATTCGCACCACTAAGGCGATCTGAGCTAGGGGGGACCTCTGGGTGGGAGGCAGAACCAAAGGCTGTCCTCGATGTCCTTCCTCACTGTTCTCCTCCCTCACCCACTCTTAGAAAGCACTCGTCAGCAGGAAAACGCCCGTGACCCTGCACAGCCTTCCACTCCCGCCCCGGTCTGGGAGCACCTTCCTTCCCCACTTCCCGCGCCCCCATATAGGAGCGCCCTGGTATCCTTTCCCAAAGCTGTAGCTGGGGAAGGCTTGCATCCTCGCCCTGCGACTGTCCTTGCATGCTCGGGTCCCTCCGGGCTCCTGATCTCACCTGGACTCCCCTAGCTGCAGCCTCCTCCTGGTGCGCCAACGCCTCCAGTTGCTGCACCCAGCGCGAAGCCCGCAGTTTTCACTAGGGGTGGGGAGAGAGGGGGGAGCAGGGAGGGGCTCTAGAGTCAGCCAATCGGAGGCTGAGGGAAAAGGATGGAGGGGGTGGGGTGGTCGGCGAGGGCTGACTGGAGGTGTTCCGTTTTGGTGTCCAAAGTGACTTGCTGGTACTAAAAGACACTCTCAGCCTTGTGGTTGGGCAGGCTCGCCCAGGGAAAAGACAGTTAGGGACCCTGGGGATCGGGGTGAGGCAGCCTCCTTTCCATGCCCGGGATGCTTTCCTTTTAAGATCGTAACCCTTTCTTTGCTAGAGCCTTCAGAAGCCTGGATAACTGGAGGGAGGCCCTCCAGCTCCCCCCCCCCCCCCCACTTTGCTTCTAGGCCGGAGACCTGCTCTTGAGCCTCCGGTGACAGGTTTTGGTTGGTCTCCATGCTAGAGCAGCCCTTGGAAGCAAGGTGAGGGGTGCACCTGCCTGGCCTGTCTCTGCTTCTCAGGCATGCATACCTCCAAGTCCTCAAAACAGAAACAATGGTTTCTGCTTATGACTCCAGATCTTGAAGCCGCACCTACCTTTTCCCTCCCTCCCTCCCTCCCTCTCTTCCTCCCTCCCTCCCTCCCT